GGGGGGGCAGGCAGGAGGATGGGGACGTGGGGAATGCAAAGGACATAGGGGGGACACGGGTCATGGAGACACAAAGGAGGGTGATGTGGGGGACACGAAGGACATAGGGGGCACGGGTCATGGGGACAAAAAGGGTGGGGACATGGGCACGTGAGAGGATGGGGATGTGGGACACGAAAGATGTATTGGGCACACGGGTCATGGGGACACAAAAAATGGGGAACAGGTGTGTGTGCAGGACACAACATGCAGGGATGGGAAAGATGGGAGGCACCGGGGGGATACAGGTTACAGGGACAGAAAGGGGGGGACATGTGGAACACGAAGGACATGGGGGCACACAGGTCATGAGGACACAAAGGGTGGGGAATGGGGGGATGTGCAGGACACAAGGATGGGGGGCATGGAGGGACGCAGGTTACAGGGACACAAAGGGTGGGGATATGGGGGACATGAGGGGTACATGGGTCATGGGGACACAAAGGAGGGGGACGTGGGTGGCACACTGGTCATGGGGACACAAAGGACAGGGACATGGGGATAGAGAACATAGGGGGCACATGGGTCATGGGGACACAAAAAATGGAGAACAGAGGATATTTAGGGATGGGAAGGATGGGGACCACAAGGCGACACAGGTCACAGGTCTGCCACAAAGAGTGGCAGACATGGGGGACACGTGGGACATGAAACAGAGGGACAGGAAGGATGTGGGACACAAAGGACACGCAGGGGACACACAGGACACATGGGGAATGTAGGGGATATGTGGGACACAAAGACAGGGACACGAAGGATAAGGGACTTGAAGGACATGGGATGTGGACCCAGGCACAAAGGACAGGGGTTGCAGAGGACACAGGTATATGAAAGAGGGGGTGACATCAAAGCTGGGGGACACAAAGGATGTGTAGGGACACATGGCAGTGAGGACAAACTGTCAGGGGGAAACACGGGGACCCCACTTCCCTGGGTGGTTGCTGAGGAAGGTGAAAAAAGCCTCTTTTCAGTTTAAAGATATAATTTTTTTTTTAGAATTTAATAACAGAAAAACAGTTCCCCTGGAGGGGCCAGGAGGGCAGGTGCTCACACACCCTTCCAAATCATCACCAAGCCTGCAGTTCACTCGGTGCAGGAAAGCAAGTAATGCTTGTTAAAAAAACAAAACCACAGAGAAAGTGGTCAACCCAAAAAAGGGACTTTTCCAGAAGGTTCCTTGTCAGCAGCACCTGGGCATCTCATCCAGGGTCACAACTATTGCCTGGTGGGTTTGCAGTGGTTTTTCCCAGGAACAGAAAAAATTGGTAGTCCGGTCGGGACTGCTGGCCGCATGGCACAGGGTGTCCTCCCTGCCCTGAGCAGGTCACTTGAGCTGGATGGTCTTTGCGGGGTGTCCCAGCAAAGCGTGGAGTGGGGACCAGGGAAGCATCATCTCACACCCCTCTTGTCTCCCTGCCGTGCTGCAGCTCCTGATTGCTCGCCGGAGGAGAACCAGCTGCTACTTCTACCCCCGTGCCTGGCCCAGCCTCAGGAGCGCGGACTGGTGGGAGCGGGTGGTCCTGAAGGAGTTTGGGCCCCAGGACTGGCTGGACAAGTTTCGGATGTCCAAGGAGACCTTCTTCTATGTCTGCAACCAGCTGCGGCCTGGGCTGGCTCCACACAGCGCCCACTTCCACCCCACCCTACCCCTGGAGAAGAGGGTGGCCGTGGCCCTGTGGCACTTGGCCACCAACGTGGAGTACCAGACTCTCAGCCCACTCTTTGGCGTGGGGCCCTCCACGGTGCAGACGTGTGTCCGGGAGGTGAGCTATGCTGTCGTCTTGCTGCTGAAGCCCCTCTACCTCCGCCTGCCCAACGAGAAGGAGCTGGAGAATATGGTGCGTATCTTCCGTACCCGCTGGGGCTTCCCACACTGCATCGGTGCCCTGGACAGCCTTCATATCGCCATCCACCCTTCCCTGCGCCTCAGCGCCGATTACTGCAACGGCCAGGGCTGGCACTCCATCCTGACACAGGCCACCGTGGATGGGCTGGGTCAATTTTGGGATGTCTCCACCGCCTTCCCTGGCAGCATGGAGAACAGCGCGGTCCTGGAGAGCTCCAGCCTGTGGGTGTTGGCCAAGGAGGGCCGGCTGTGCCCCAACCCTCCCAAACACTTCATGGGGAAGGCACAGAAGTATGTGCTGCTGGGTGATGCCACCTACCCCTTGCAAGACTGGATCCTCAAGCCCTACCAGGAGGACGAGAACCTCACTGAGCGGCAGCTGCAGTTCAACTACCGCCTGAAGCGGGCGCACAGCGTGATCGAGAATGCCTTCCTGCGCCTGAAGGCCCGCTGGCAGATCCTCCTGAAGTGTGACGACTGCAGCCTGGAGCTGCTGCCCACCCTCGTCCTTGCCTGCTGCATCCTGCACAACATCTGTGAAGCCCATGACAACCCTTTCAACGAGGATTGGCTGGAGGGGACCGAGCCGACTGAGCTGCCCAAGCCCTGCCAGCCCGCACCCGCCGCCATGGAGGACGGCCGGGCTGAGCAAGTGAGCGAGCTGATGTGCGAGTACTTTGAGAGCTGCGGGGAGGGCTGACGGGGCCAGTGGGCCCCACGCATCCTTGCTCCCAGACTTCCCATGGACTCCAGGAAACATTGGCCCAGCGGTACCGGGCTGTTCGGCAAAGGACTGTCCCCTCTCGCCTCTGCCAGAGGCTGCCGGCTGCACCGGCCATTCACGGGGTGGGGAGGAGGGTGGCTGTGTCGTGCTCGTGCTGGTTTTGCTGTGGTGGTTTCACGCAGTGGAATGTATTTTGTGTCCTTGCTCTCTTCCAGGATTTGAGCGGTCTGGTGGTGTGGTGTTGTGCTGCGTGAGTAAAGCAGGGATCAGGGCTGGGGAGGGAGGGCTGCTTGGGTCTCCTTTTCCTGGGAGCACGTAGAATCATAGAATGGTTTGGGTTGGAAGGGACCTTGAAGATCATCCAGTCCCACCCCTCTGCCATGAGCAGGGACACCTCCCACTAGACCAGGTCCAACATCTCTGTCCCAAGGCCCCTCCGTCAGGCCGAAACCAGCAGGAGGCTTGAAATAAGGCAGCAAAACCCCTTTGAAGATACGAAACTTGCTGCGTAAACACACTTGGGAGGGGAAGGGAAGGAAGAGGCAGAGCAGTGACTTGCCGGGGGCTGCACCAGCCCAGAATGAAATTCCATCTTGCAAACTCCTGCTCTGCTGCTGCTCAGGCAGCACGTGCTGCCCTTGAGGGAGCGGCCTGAGCCGCCGCACCCTGGCATCCCTCCTCCAGAGGGGTTTGCCATGAGGGTCCACGGCTCAGCCCCCATGGTCCCTCCCCGTCCCACCGGCCAGCTCTTTCTGCTGGCGCCTCTTATCTCTGCTCCCAGCCCGGCTGCAGCATGAGCAGAAACACACAGCTCTGCCCTCCCTGTATTTTCAGAGAAATCAAGCGGCTGCGGTTTATCCCCCTGTGGGCTGGAGCCCGGTGGTGCACCGCCTGTGCCGTGCCAGGGCAGGGCCGGCCGCCCGAGCGCAGAAGCACCTCCGTCAGCTCCGTTGGGAGGCGGAGGGGGGATGGCACGGGCATGTCCCACCACGCCACCCTTGCCACGGGCCGGGGTGTACCGGCTGGAGCACTGGGGGTGGC